AAAAAAAAAAAAAAAAAAAACAGGAGAAACACCACTTTTTTTTTCTTTTTTCCTTTGGAAATACCCCCTTTTCACTGTATTCCCCTTTTTTTTCTCGATTTGTTATTGCCTTTATTTTTACTTTATACTTCCGTTCCAATAATATATATATATATATATATATATATATATAAACATATATGTTGTCCTTGGATAAAATTCATCCTCTTTGGACTTCACATACAAACATTCAAAAAAGAAAAAAAAAGAAAAAAAAAAAAACACACACACACACAGTCAGACATAAATCCACACCTTGTATTGTTAAACCGCTTTCTCACTATTTCTCTCTCTATCTACACACATCACCGATAGAGAGACAGAGAGAGAGAGAGAGAGTATGTACCTTTTACGAGACTAAGCATGTTTACCGCCATTAGGGATCGCTATCTTACTATCACCATTCATCACCATTACAGGAACACCACTGTTTAGCATTACATTTTCACTAACACTACTATTATCATCCAATTGTTTGCCCCCTAAACGCAGTTCTTCTACACGTTTGACAAACCAATCAAACATCCAATCATATCCTAACATCAACTGCAGGTGATTACTATTACTATGACTTCCCCCACTATTATTATTTCCCCCACTATTATTATTATTATTATTATTATTATTATTACTATTTCCTTCATTTGTGTGGGAAGCGGCACTTGTACAGGTCTCGCTGGCCTCTGCAAGGGATTGCATAGATGGCAGTGGTGTATGCAAGAAATGATGTCTTTTTGCCAATCGACGAAATAAATCCCGTAGGACTTCATAATCCGGTTTTTCCGCAAACTTTAATTTTCTACAATATGTACAATAGAATAATACCTCCTCTGGTAATCCTGCACAGAGTTCCTCTAATGACGTCTCATTCTTCTTTATACCTATTTGTACGGTCTTGGCATGTAAATCCTTTACGGGAATCCCTTGCCAAGGGAGAGCACCGGAAAGAAAATAAACTAAAATAAATCCCACCGACTCCATATCATCACGTCGACTTTGTTCAAAGCCGAGATGTGTCCATGTACTGCAGTAACGGGCCGTGCCAGTAACTGGTTTCTGCACCGCAAAGGGAATATGTGCCTGTTTGCGTTTATCCCAGTATTGTTTACTAAGACCATAATCAATGAGATAGAGGATGTGACCTTTTTTACCAAGACCAAATACAAAATTCTCTGGTTTAATATCACGATGAATGAAACCTTTGGTATGTATAAACTCAACCCGCTGCAGGATCTGATCTGCAAGCATACATACCGTCTTTAGTGAGAAACGACGACCACAATAGTTAAAGAGATCTTCCAATGATGGTCCACAGAGTTCCATTACAAGTATATTGTAATCCCCATCTGTGTTGAATTGATATATCTTTGGAATACCAATAGGCCGTGAAGATCCACGATGCAACACCGTATACACTTTACTCTCATAAGATAACTGTGGACACGTAGCCATACGCTTTTCTAACTTCACTGCTACCTGAACATTACGTTTGGTATCTACTCCCTGATAGAGATCTCCAAAGGCACCACTACCAATACGATGTTGTAAAATATATCGTCCATCTAAAAGAGATACTTGTCGCATTGTACGTGAGGACGCTGAAGACGGAGATACCGTTTGTGGACCTCTTGCAGTTCCTACCGCCCCATTATTAGCGACACCGCTGTTTTTTGTATTTTCATTCATAAGGACGTTCTATGTAGATATATATATATATATATAATATATATAATATTCTTAGATATGTCCCTGGAAAAAGGAAGACGAAAAAAGTGGAAAAACAAAAAAAAAAACAAACAAAAAACCGAAAAAAAAACAAACAAACGTTAGCAGAGAGAAAGAGAGAGAGATTCCCCTAATGAGAATTAGCTCTACTGCTATTTGGATGTCCTTATTTTGTATATATATATATATATATATATATATATATATATATATATACACTTTCTCTATCTGATCTCAATCACTTGGAAGGTAGTAGATAAAACCAAAAATACCGTTTCGAATAGGCACGTGTAGTGACTATACAGAGCGGTACCTCTACGCCCCTTTTCTTTTTCTTTTTTTTTTATTATTAGGATGACTAGGACTGATGAGTTTTACACCCGCTACTGCCGTAAGCGATCGCGAGTTAAAATGTCAAGAGAAAGAAAACTACAAAAAAACAAACAAAACAATTCCTAGCGCTAGAAGAAAAAAAAAGAAAAGGAAAGAAAAAAGAAGGAAACAAGGAAGTAAGATAAAGAAAGAGACTTAAGAATGTATATACATATACACGGACAAACAGACAGTCAGAATAAGTAAGAAAAGAAATATATATATAAATATAATAAAGGAATTGTGATATAATTTACACTACACTGAAGAAGGAAATAAGTGAAAAATAACAACAACAACAACAACCACGACAACCACAACAACAACAAAACAAAAAGAAAACGCGAAGTCATTTAATCTTTTTCTTCTTTTTCTTCTTCTTCTTCTTCTTATACGTAAACAGAGAGTGTAGGTAGGGTCATCTACTCATAGTCACTATCATCCAAAAGACGTAATTGTTGTGTGTTTAACTGCTGTTCTGCACGTTTCTTCGCACTACTTGGACCTTCTGCAGTTTTTGCTAATGGATTAGCGACCAAAAGCGGTAAACGCGACTTGACAGTTTTCTTATCTTCTTTACTCTTTACTTCTCTCTTATTCTCTTCCTCACGCCTTGTTGTTTGTTCAGGTGGTGTAAAGAGATTCTCCTCCTCTTCCTCTTCCTTCTCTTTCTCCTTCTCTTCTTTTTCTTTCTGAGCTCCACTACTACTACAACGACTACTACTTGTGGTATCTTCATGACTATTTGCCTCCAATACTGTTTTCACTGTTGCACTCACCGCCAGAGGAACTTCAAAGGGAGTTGTATCTGTAACCTCACCAAGTAGAATACATTGAATAATCCACTCAACAGATACAACGGGAACTGCAGAAAGTCCACTCTGCAATCGTTGTGCCATCATACGTTGTAGTATAGGTTGAGAAGGGTGAGAGGAGACACCGGCGTTATCACTTAATACGGTACGATATATTATGGAGAGGGATTGTGTTTCTCGTATAATTTCATCTTCTTTATTATTATTATTATTATTATTATTATTATTATTATTATGATTCTTCATTTTCATCATATTTGGTTTAGGTCCTCGTTTTTTACCTTTTGTACTTTTTCCCACTTCTTCTTCTCTTTCTTTTTCTTCTTGTTGTTGTTGTTGGGTGGCTGTACCGTAGCCGAGATCTACAATAACGGAGAGATTCACCACTAATGGACTGCGAGAGACCGTACCGCCGAGTATACGCACCAACTCCATAAATTGATCTGTATGGGCAAGTGGGGAATGACTCACAAATGTAAATGACATTCCAAGAAAGATGGCTTTATAATGTGGTCCAACATCCTCACCGAAGAGATTTACCAATGTTCCTCCAATATCATCATTCTTTTTTTTCTTTTTCTTCTCCTCCTTCTTTACAGATAGAGCCACTGCAGGGCTACTACTATTATTATTACCAACACCATTCTTCTCTTGTTTTTCGTCTTCTTCTTCTTCCTCTTCTTCTTCAGGCAACCCCTCATTTTGCGCAGAATTCTCCTGCTTCTTCCCATTATTATTATTATTATTATTATTATTATTATTATTATTATTATTATAGATAGGATGGAGATGGGCCTCAATAATATTTGGAAATGCCCCCAAGGCGATGGCATCATACAACCACTGCGGTGTTAACACTGGAATACCTAATGCGATGGCCAGCAACACAACAGGTGTTAACTCCCCACGGCCCTCCACAATAAGATGTGTTGGTTTACGCACACGGCCAAACACTCGTGGAATACAAATAGCCCCCAACTGCTCTACCACATCAGAGAGAAACTGAATGACATCTTCATTTTCACCAGAAACAGCAATACGAAGTGGTACGGATGAAGTGGATACACACTTACTACTACTACTACTCTTTCTTCCTTTTCCTCTTCCTCTTCCTCTTCCTCTTGTTGTTGTTGTTGACTCACGGTCTGGTGGAAACAATGGTGTGATGAGACTCGTGTCTGTGAAAGTCATAGAAGACTCTGTTGTTTCCTCAACACCTCTTCTTTTTGTTTGTGTTGCCGTTGTCGCATCCTCTTGTCTATTCTTTTTTATTTCATTCATTGAAGAATCAACCGTCTCACGGGGACGTTTATGATCACCTCGTCGTGATGCCGTAGAATCTCTTTCTACTACTACGACTAATGATGTTGCTGCTGCTGCTGTGGTTATTGTTGAGGTTGTACTATTAGAGTTCTTTTCCTCATCATCAACAGCAGCTGCAGTTACACCTTCTTGTATATCTTTGCAGGATGATTTCTTCTTTTTCTCCTTCACAGACATTGATGTTTTTGTCTGTGAAGAAGGAGATAAGGAAGAAGAAGAAGTAGTATGGTTTTTACTATCATGGTTACTCGTGTTTGTTTTGTTCAGTAATTTGTCCTCAGAGAACAACGGTGTACTTGTTCCCACGTTATCAGAAGAATTTTGATTCTTTTTCTTTTCTTCTTCTTCTTCTTCCTCATTATCATTATCATCAAGATAAGGCACCTCAGATAGGGCTGTTGGTGTTGTAGAGACTTTCGGAAGTTTCGATTTCCCCACCGTTTCAGACCCGTTACTGTTCTTATGAAGGAGTGAAGGAGTAGATGAAACTACAGGATGGTTTCTATGAATAGTATTATTATCTCTTTTCTTTTCAGTTTTTCCTCTTGTTGATATTATTCTTGTTGTTGATATTGTTGGAGAAACAAGAAACCCTTCAACGGGAAGTCGCATTCCACGAGCGGCACACGCCTGCAAATACGCCGGTGTAACCACCACTTTCCCATGTGCAGTTGCATTCGCCAATAGAGATTCATTTCCACAGTGAAAGACAATGAGATCGGCTGTATTCTCAGAGAGTGTGAGAGAGGCCCCAAGTGTGCGAATGGCTTTCTTAGCGTAATGTTTTGTACGATCACTTGTATTGATATCATCGTGTTCACGTATGTGTAGAAATACCCGTACACCATCAAAGGGTGCAGTAGAAGTATTAGTAGAAGTATTAGTGCTAGTAGAAGTATTGGGCATCGATAATGAAGAAGAGGAAGAGAGAGAATACATAGGGTCTGTGTTGCTTCTATTAATCGTTGGCATATACAGCACGTGTATATGTATATATGTATGAATGTATGTATGTTTATGTGTGCAAAGTGGTAATACCACAAGCAAGTAGAATATAAATAGTAGAACCAAAATAAAAAGAGTACTGGGAATACGGAATAAATAGAGAAGGAGATTCACGTTAATGAAAAGCCTTATTTGTATGCCAATTTGCGGAGATGAAACCAATAGTAGTAGTAGTAACAGTAATGGTGGTGGGGATTATATGTTAACTAATTCTTTTTCTATACGTCTCTTTGATTTGTTTTTTTTTTTTTGTTTGTTGTTCTCTTTTTTTTTCTCTCCACACCACACACTTGTACTCTCTGCGTGGCTAGAAATGTCAACAACATCAAAAAAAAAAAAAAAAAAAAAAAAAAAAAAAAACAGAAAGAAAATATACATATGGGGATAGAAGAAGAAAAAGATGAGTAAACATAAAAACAAAGAATCGGTTCCTATTATATAGGACAAAATAAAATGTGTATGCATTATAAAGAGAGAGAAAGAGAAAGAGAGAGATAGAGAGAGTGAGGGAAAAGAGACTTTATTCATACACGTGTGTACATTACATTACATGTACACATGTATATAGTCACATCTATTCAAGGTGTCATTTACATCAAATCCAAGCTTTGAAAAAAAAAAAAAAAACACACAAACACCATACATGGAGTTGCGTGCACTACATTTTATTTTTTCTTTTCTTTTTGTTGGGGATAAAATAGGAATACAGTCCCAGCATGATTTCCATTTTCTTTATTTCTCTTTCTCTTTCTCTTTCTCCAACATTTCCATTTAATACGAAACCCATATACACACACATAAAGAGAAAAAGAAAGAGAAGGAGAAAGAAGGAGAAACAATAACAGTAAGAAGAAAAAAAAAAAGATTACATTTCAAAGAATATCTCTTCTTCTTCAATAATTTCCTCTTCTTCATTTGTCTTCCCAACAGTAGCAGGGGCATCATAATCCTCAAATCCCAACAAATTCTCTGAAAAGGCACGGGCCGTAATTGTATCTTCTAACATATCTAACCGCACCCCATCCCCCAACAGGGAACGCAGAGCCGCGGCAATCTCTGTTGGCTGCAGGGCCTCTCCATGTGTTCCTAATAATTTAAATAACACATCCCGTGAGATTTGACCCGTTACGGGATCCGCTCCAAGTGCAGAGAAGGCACACTCAATATCCTGTCGGGTGATGCCGTAGATAGGACGGTAGTTTACATACAAACGCATAAATTGTGAAAATTTAAGAGGAATACTTCCCACATCACATTCATCTACAGATTCCCCTTCAGGACCATACAAATTCGCTACTTCATACGTCAATCGTCCAATCTCAAGTTCGGAAGGATAATAACCAAGTGCACGAAAGAGATTAGGAAGTTGTGAAAATGGAACAGCACCCATTAACTCACGCTTAGCTGTGGTCTCTTCACCTTGTAAACGAATTTGCGCATAGTAAAAGTAATCCACAATCTCACGCATAAATTGTCCATCACGTCCACCCTCAACGGCGGCAATAAGATGATCCAGTGGAACTTCTCCAATTGTAGATGTTAAGATTTCTGCAGTGGCTGCTGCCTCATCTTCAGGGACTATGCGATCTCCATTAATACGCCACTGCATAACCGATTGATCCTCTCCACCTGCTGTAAACACAAAAGCTCCATCAAAGGATTTTGTCACACTTGTGATGGAACCTGGATGGGCTAAAACTCCTGTAGACATGCATGGATCTCCTTCTAAAGGGAGTTGCATTAATCCAATAACTTTTTCTCGTGTGGCATAAAATAAACATGGGGTATTATTCTCTCGTGAGGTTGGTACAGTAAACATTTCCACCACTGGACCACCAAAGGTAGGTGATAAAACCGACTTGATACATTGTCGACTCCAATCACTAAGGAAAACTGTAATTTTATATTCACTTGTTGCAATAAGAAGCATATCATCTTGAGAGGAATAATCACCGTCTTCAGCATTACTGCGACGCTTCATATCTGTAACAACACCATCTTCTTTTACCCAAAAAAGTCCTGTTGGAATGGCTCCTTGTGTAATTTTATGTGCACTTCGCACAAGTAATCCAGATTCCGCCTCGGAATCAATAAGATCATACTCTACAAGGCGTTTATCCTCACCAACAGAGAGTAATCGTGGTAAACCCGCATCATCCCCAAACTGTAATCCAGAGATAGCGGCTCTATGTGTTTTATGCCGACCTACAATATCCCATTCCATAGGCTTTGAGGTATTACCTTGTGGATGATCATATTCATATAACGCCACACATCCAGCAACATCCGCAGCGGCTAATCGTTTTCCATCATGAGAAAATACCAAACGTGTAATACAATCTGGACGTTTAGGTTTAATAGACTTTCGCTCTTCTAAAGATTCCGCATCAAGAAACTTAACCACACCATTTGTACAACCAAGTGCTAGAAAAACACCTTCTGGATCATATGCCATACAATGAATCTGCACATTTTGAAAAATACTGAGAAGTGATACACGTTTAGCAATATAATCCCATATATGTAAACTACCACTATGTCCAGCAATAGCGACACGGGTTAATTTTGGATGTGCCACAATACATTGAATACCTTTATCTTGTCCTTGTACAATAAGTTTACCACGTAGTAATTCTGCATTTCCTGTATGAAATGATTTAGATAAAACACTAATAATCATTGCATTAGCAGTTGAAACCATAAAATCAGGTGCTGAAAACTCTTGTACGGCATTTGTTCCCACAAGTGCAACTTTCTTTTGTGTAGTCATTTTAAATTCTTTTCGCATTTCATCTAATGCCAATGGTGCGGCCACTGCTGGACGATCAAAACTGATAGATGTGATAGGCCCTCCAGTGAGATCCTCAAACCAGGCAATAAGACGTAGTTTGGGATCAAGAAATTTAACATGTCCATCAATACCACCAGTAACGATATAACCACTGGACCAACCAAGAAAAGAAACTCCAGCAGAATGTATACGTACCATTTTAAGCATAGTCTTATCTTGTTCTTTCGTAACTCGATCACGTGGTTGGACTTCCCATAAAATAACATCTCCATCAACGGTTCCACTACATGCCATAGTAGTACCAGGAACAAATATTGTTTGTGTAAAATTTCCAATAGGTATCTTTAAATTTTTAGATAAAATTGGTGGAGAATAATATTTCAATTCTCCTTCTGCCCATGACCAAAAGAGTACACGATGTAATCCATTCGTTACAAGAAGATGTGGATCATCTTCTGAGAAACGAATAGAAGTTTGTTCATCTTGTGCAGGAATAGCACGACGATATTCTGGTTCCATCATACTTTCTAAGGTTGTATTGGCAACAAAATCATTTGGTAATCCATGTTCATCCACATCTTTGTCTGCTGTCCATCCCCACAACATAATTTCCTGCGGAACGCGTCGATTAAGTGTGGCAATATACATCGCATCAAGACTCATCGCACACGCCACAACACCACCATACATACCTGTTGGTATGGTTCGTACAGGCATTCCAGTTTGTGTATCCCATACAATCATCACAGAGGTATCTTGATCCCCTTCAGAATCTGCTGAATGTTGATCGGCATGGGAAACACCATTTGCATTTCGACTCTGTCGATCACTACTGTGGGAATAGGACTCTTCTCCTCCTCCTATTCCTATTCCTACGCCTAGTCCACTACTGTAATTGGGTTGTGTGGGGTTATGGATATTATTATTATTATTATTATTATTATTATTATTATTATGGGGATCATATGCTCCACTTGTACCAGCATCTGCAGTAACAATAAAACGTCTATTACGACTACACGCAGATGCAATGATTGTATGCCGATGTCCCATTAAATGACGCTGTGTATTCTGCACGGCATCATAAATAACACCAACATGTCCAATGGTATAAAATACCACACGATCTGTAGGGGATGTACTGAGATTATGAATGACAGATTTAAAATCCTTGTGTAGACCAAAGGCCCATTCAAGTGCAAGACTCTCATGGGAAGCTGCGGGTTCCATCTGGCGCAGAACTCGATGATGAAGTGACATGAGTCTTATTTTCTTTTTCTTTTTTCTTTTACTTCGTTTTATCACTTTCTTTTTTCTTTTTTATATATATATTTCCTTCCTCTCTTCCTTTTCTTCTTCTATATCGTCTTTCTCTCAAGCTCCAGGCGAGAGGCAACACTACTGAAAAGAGAAGCAAACACACACACAACATAGAGAGAGAGGAAAAAAAATAAAAAAAGAAAAGGATATGATTAGATAGCAATAAGGCGAAAAAAAGCAAGCAAAACAAAAAAAAAAGAATGATTAAACAACCATAATAAAGTAAAGCCGACACACACACAGAGAAAAGTAAAAAATAAAAGAAGAATGCAAGTACAAACAGAGAAGTCAGACGAGTCATTTCTGAAGTGTTTTCTTTTTTTTTTTCATTAAAGACGGAATTACCAAACTTTGAGATATGTATACACCAAACAGAAAGACACAGATAAAAATGTACTTTTCTTCTTTCTTTTCTTTTCTTTTTTTTATCGCTATTCTTAACTTTTTTTTAAAACAAGCGAAATAAAAACGGAATTTTTTTTTTTTCTTCTGACCTCTTTCACCGACTTCACCTCTCTCTTTCTATCTCCCTCTCTCATTCCTTCCCATTCTATTGTTGCTGTTAAAGATTAAGAAAAGAGAGAGAAAAATAGAGATGGAGAGTTCCCATCCACATGTATCTCTTTATTCGTTCCAATACGGGAGACTAATAATAATAACAAGACGAGAGGCATCGTAGCAGCGCCTTAACAAGGACACAAACACACACACAGAGAGAGAGAGAGAGAGAGTCAATAGACACATGATGATGAAAAGAAGAAAAAAAAAAGAAAAATTAAGAAAGCATGATTTCATCACCATCAACTCCTTTCATATATATATATATATAATTCTTCTTCTTTTTTCTTTTCTTTTCTTTTCTTCTCTTTCTCTGCCTCATCGGAATGAAGCCATCTTACGCGTGGCATTGGGATGTCCACCAGCCCCATGCGGTGCCTTCTCTTTTGCCTCATATCGTCCATGTCGTTCAATCTCCGACACGTGCCGGCGCAGCAGAGCAGCCAAATATTTCATCATCAACGCATCCTTGTAACTTTCCGAGATAAAGTCATCGCGACTACTCTGCTGGTTCTTTTCCTCCAGAATGGCTTCATAGTTCGCCACAATAGCGGCCTCTTCTCCATCCTTATCTCCCTTCTGCTTGCCAGCCCCAGATGCCAGTACCGCACGGGCATGTACAATGGTTTGATGAAGTTTATTCTGCACATTCGCCAAGGCTGTTTCCACTGGTCGTGTGTCTGTTTCTCTGCGAGGATCGCGTTTAGCCGAATCCGCCTCCAACGCCACTCGATCCAAATTTGTAATTCGACTTGTTGGATACGGAGCCCCACCCCCACAGAGGGCTTTGGAGATAATCTCAGCCAGTAACACATTCATCGATGGGGTCTCCGCCTCAATAGAAACCGCCACTTCCTGCACACGTCCAAACCGCAAGGCATCGCCAACCCACACGCTACTCGTCACGTGTGCCTCCCACTGCACGGAGATGTGAGAGGCGGTGGGCATGCGGGCAAGTAACATCACCGCTTGATTGTTACTGCGACTGCGGGAGAAACTCACACATGGGGCTTGACACCAGAGATCAAAGGCCTCTTCCTCATCCGGCATGGGCACTCCAGCGGCATACCATCCCAGTAGGGTGATGCCAGGGGTGTAGTATCGCTTTAACTGGACACGCTCACTGAGATCCTCCGCATAGGCACGGGAGCGAACTTCCATTGTAGAGGCATGTGTGCATGGAATATAATCAGTAACGGTGATTTGATCACCTGTGCGGTTTCCAATGAGATAACCAGCGGAGTTACACCGGCGCTTGGCATGCTCCACAATGGCAGATGCCACAAAGGGCGGAAGTACAAGAGTGCCCATCTTTTTATCTTTTCCCTCAGTTTCAGTCTTTACACGTTGGTTGTCCATCCTTATTAGAAACGACTTTTCTTTACTTTTTCTATACATATTAACATCCCATATATACAAAGAAAAACAAGAAGAAGAAATCATTATAGGATCTTATCATAATTATAGATAACATTAAAAATAGACACATTGTAAAGTAAATAAACACCATTATTGTAACTTATGAGACACATACAAACAAAGAAACACAAACACAAACATAACTACAGGAGAGAAAAAAAAAAAACAACAACAACTAACCAACCTACCAAACAAACAAACAAACAAAAAAAAAACGCATACATTTATGCGTGAAATGTGTGTGCACCATTCCGCTAAATCACTAACTTTCCCTACTAAATACCATATATATATAGGTATGTATATGTATACCCACATACGTCTCTTCCAGTGTCTCTCCATCACACACACACACACATAGAGACACACACACACTATAGGACCGACACCATCTTCACATTTTTTTAATTTTCTTGCTTTTTTTTTTTTTTTATTTCTCTTTCTTTTTTTTTTCCTTTTCTTTTCCTCTTTTTTTTTGTTGTTTGTCCTCCTTCATCCTTGTACCTTCTTCTCTCCGATGTAGACATATGTATGTGCCCCTATTTCCCCTCTTTTTCTTTTCTTGTGTTTTAGTGTCCATGTCCTAACTTAGTGTAGAAGTCCTTCCCTGGGAGTGTATCTCCTGCGGGCTGCACATTCACATCCTTTGGCCCATACGCCGAGTACAGTTTCTCTATATCTGTAAAGCACCGAATACGCAGTTGGTCCTTTGCAGATAATTTACGCACCTCCTCCAGTGTACCGCCCCATCGCATGATCATTGCCTTTTCCACGTGATCAATATCCAATGTGTGCTCCTGATGCCAGCGGTGATAGAAGTAGATGAATGGAATCATCACAGCGTAGAGACGATACTCACCAGGAATAGCCCAGTTGAGAGAACCATTCCACGCACGTTGGAAGTAATACTCACCAAGTGCACGGAATCGCATCACAGGGGCATGCAGAAACTCCTTAGAGACGAGTCTGCTGTTGCGGTAGGTTGACATGAGTACCATTTTTCTCTTTCCTTTTTTTTCTTTTTTTTTTCTTTTCTTCTTTCTATTCCTATTTATATGTATTCTTTTTTTCTCTTTTTTCTTCCTTTTATTTAATTGCTTCTCTCTTCTTTTCGCTTCAGTGTACCTGTATATATATCTATCTATATATATATGGACACACACACACGCAACACCCTTTACAAAGAATAAAAAAAAGAAAAAACAAGAAAGAGAACAGTCTACCAAGCTGTTTTATTACAACAGAATTAGTAAACATACAACAATAATAAACACAGTACTATACATATAATACTCCCTCCTTCTTCTTTTCTCTCTCTCTCCATTCCTCTGAGACCTGCGAACGATTCGACATCTTCCCTCTATCCATATCTCATTTCCCTTCATGTGTCCTCGATATCTCCTCACCTTCTTCTTCTCCTTCTCCTTCATCATCATCACTATCACTATCACTATCATCATTAGTATCAACACCATAACCAGCTTCTGTTTCAACTTCAGCTGCCGCCGCCGCTGCTGCTGCTGCTTCTCTCTCTGCCGTTGCCCGTAGTTCCTCTTCCACTTCTTCCACGTGTGGGGCCACAGCCTCTTTCCACCACGCTGGTAGTGAAGAACTATCATCCGCCACCAACTTCTCTGCAAGAGCTGCAGACGCCGCTTCCACCACATCCACCTGAAAGGCCCGCATATCCTCCGCATTTCGCACACGTAGTGGTTCATGAAAAGCATAAGATTTCTGGAGACTCTTCACAAAATAATTCTCCATCGCATGAAGACGTTTTTCTACTAATAACGCCATTTCAGCCTCCGCATCATAGGTAGATTCATCCGCATCTTGAATAGGTGTATCTTTTAATGGATCCCCAACCTCCACATTATTCTCCAATGGAGGAATAGGAAGTAATACACCACTTTCAAGACTTATCCGCTTTTCCTCTAATTCCCCTGTTTCTTTATTCCGCACCTTCACCAATTCTAATTGACATAATGTGTTTGTAGAGGGATCCACATGCCGCACACGATTCACATGAATGGGATGTTCTCGCTGCACCACCTGCTCTGGTCGTGTCTCTGAGGCTGGAATCACAACATCCTGCACATTCACATTCTGAACAACAATCTCATTCTTATATTTTACTACTGCAATGATGGTTCCGCGTTGACCAACACCCTCACCTGTGACGACCTCCACTACATCGCCTGGATACCACACCCACGGAGTGATCACATAATCCGGGGCGAAGAAGCGATATCGGGCGGCGAGTTCCACCTTCTGGTGTTTCTCCAGATCCCGGCGTATCCATTGATTGTGATACGTGTGATCTTGATAAAAGTCACGTTCGCGTGGGTGACGGAGGGACTCCAGGAGCTCCAGCCGCTCACGATCACGCAAATCCACCGTCTCATCACTGTAAATACCACTGAGAAGACCAGGCTTCACCTTTGGTCGGCGCAACATGTTGGGATTGACATTATACGCACGGAGTGTACGCTCCGGTCGTTTGTAGAACTTGGAACGTGTGCGAAAGCGGGCATACATTTTTTTTTTTTTTTTTTTTGTGTGTGTGTGTGCTCTTCGTTTTCTTCTTTCCTTCCTTCCTTTCTTTTCTGCCTTCACATAATAATATAAATAATAATAAAAAAGAACACATAAGGAGAAGAAGAAGAAATAATAAATATAAATAAGACTTCCAAGTCTCATACAATCATGAACACCCCACGCGGAAAGTTTAAGGTGCTGGAGATAGAAATGAAGAAGAAGAAAAGAAAAGAATCAAGTTCCTCACATTCATCTCAATAACTCTCGTATAGAGGAATGGAAAAAATGATGCGGAAAATAGTCCGATGAAAAAATGATGCGGAAAATAGTCCGATGAATAAATAAATAAATAAATAATAACAATAATAAAAATAATAAAAAAGAAACTGAGGTGTAATCACTACCAGTAAAGAAAGAAATGAATAGAAGGAAATAATACACACTAAGAGGGTTAGTATCCTCTTATGTTCTCTTTTTATTTTCTTCCTTTCTCTTCTCGTATTGAATTATGGATTAGGATACCATAATATACCTTTTTTTACTCCAATGGATGTCAGTCGCTAACAATTCCCTCCCAAATGTATTCTTTTTCTTTTGTTGTTGTTGTTTTCATTTGTGGACTATACCATTAACAGAAAGAAAATATACCCCTTAACAAAAGAAACAATCTATCGATCAATCAATGAAAAGGGAAAAGGAAAAAAAAGTGAAATAACTCTTTACAATCATTCACATTACTCTTTTTTTTTTGGTTTTCTTTCAATTATTTTCAAAATTTTTTTGCTATGATTCACTTATATATCTTTTCTGTTTTCTTATCGTTCTTCACTTTCTTTTTCTCTCTCTACTTCTGTTATTCTCTTCCCCATCCACAGTTTTTCCAATGGTCCTTTTACCCCCTCACTCAAAAAAACAAAAAAAAAAAAAACAATTGATATACACTTACATATACTCGAACAAAGGAACACACATATATATATATATATAGACTCGATTGGATTTACCTCTCCTACTATTACCAGCCGGGTATTACAGTATCCAGTATCGAAAAAAGGAAAAACAAACAAACAAAACAAACTCAAATGCATATAAAAAGACATACACGCTCAAACAGATGCACAGGGTACTGAGGAAGAAAGTACAAAAATCAATAAGGGGAAAAACAAACAATCAATCAATCAAACAAACGGGAACGAACACCATCAATCAAAGAAAAAAGAAAAAAAAAACACTATGAGGACCAAGGAATATGTTCAGAAAATGTATATATATATATATATATATATATATATATATATATATATATATATATATAGAGGTTTTTTTTCTTTTCAATGCTTCACACTGTATTATTAGTGAATACGCAAACTACTAGACTCCACACCGTATACTCCATGATGATCATTAAATAATTGCTGCAGAGCCCACACGTACTTGTCATGCCACTCTTGCAGTTCTTCCTCTGTTGGATTTGGAATCTTTGGAACTATTAAAGGTTCCCCAACCACCACTACTATGGGTCGGCGGTGTGGAAGTATACCAAACCCGTAATTAAACCATCCCCTACCAACAAAAAGGGGAATCGCAAAAGTTGTACACTTGCGTAAAACCCGTTCGACTCGTTTCCATAATTGCGATTCCGCCATGCGGGGAATTCTGTAAACATCATTTTCACCAAAAGCATACACGGGCACCAACGGCGTACCCTCTTGCAATGCAATCCTTACAAACCCTTTTCGTCGCTGTAGGGTTAATTCATTTGTGTTTGGTTTCGCTAATAAACTCTCCTGAGCTCCACCAACCACCAACAATACACTTTCACCAGGACCAGAGCGGAGTGTACGGCGAATACAATCCGCACTGGCATCTCCACTTCCACTAAGACATGCGAGTTCACGCCAGAAGGGAACATAAAAATTCATTTTAAGCGTTTGTGTATGAATATGAATACCAGGAAGAAGTGCACTTGCTGCGTCGTTTAGGGTAAACTTGGCAATTGCACCAAATCCATGAATACCATGTGGATGATAGATAAAAAAGTAATTTTTACTGGAATCAAATTGTCTTCGCACATAACGTGGAATAACAAGACGTACAGGAAAGTAATCACTATAGTATTGCCAAAGTTTGAGATGTGTAAAAGTTTGATTCCTTTTTAAAGGATGTTTTGGACGCCCAATTGTGAAGATGTATACAAGATAAGCCACCATAAAGGGCATTGTATACAGATTCGTAAGAAGAAATAATGTGAGTAGAAAAGAAAATGGTATGAATGTAAAGAAGAGAAAAAGAGAAACCACAAAGGTCTGTATTCGACGTTCAAGTGGGATTTTAAATAACTCTAACCAATTTCTTTTAGTATTTGTATTTCCATCCATCTCCGTGGTCATGCTGTTATTATTATGATTATTATTCTTCTTATCATGATTGGGATGATTTCCACCATCCTTTTCCTCATTCACTCCACTAATACTACTATCGGAGTGTTTTCTGTTTCCATGATAAGTTGTAATAAGATCAAAGGTGTGTGCCTCTGGCCGTGTTCTTGCATACTCCTCCAGTCGCTTTAAAAGACGATCACACACAATAACTCTCGTATCCCACCGGGCAATACTCTTCGCAAGTGAACGAGGCGACGGCTGTTGCTGTTGCTGTTCTTCTTCTTGTTGTTGATCCTGTCCATTTGCAAAACTGTTTTTATTATTATTATTATTATTATTATTATTATCACTCTTCTTATTATTATTCATTGTTTCTTTAATAACTGTTCGTTGAGCCGCTAATCCACGACGACGACGTAATCCTCGCGGCCCGCAGAACTCTGGTCGACTGTAGCGGGAGTCCTCTGTGTCTGTGCTGGGCACACTCCCACTGCATCTACTGCTGCCATCACTACTACTGCAAACACTACTACTTCGACTGCAGAGATCGCTGGATTCCCCAGTGGCAAGAGAAAATGCCTTTCGCAACTTTGACACTTCACGTAATGTAATGGGGAGACGATTGCGCATAAGTGTTTGAAGATCTCCACAGGCTCTGAGAATGAGTTCGAGTTGTTCATGCATTTCCTCAACGGTGAGGGGTGGGAGAGTGGCGTCCTGCCCGGCCCTTTCAGGATGCTCAACGGTTTCCATTTTTCTTTTGTTTTGTTTTGTTTCTTTTTGTTGTTGTTGTTGTTCTTTTTTCTCTCTCTTTCTCTTTTTTTTATTATTATTTGGAAACAAAAAATAAAATAGAATAAAATAAATAAGTATTAAAGATATTTTTTCTTTTTTATATTTTTTGGCTCTTTCTGTTATCTTGTATAAATGTATCGTTTTTCATTACCACCATAGTGTTATGTTTCATGGACATTTCAATACAAGAGGAAATAAAAGTAAGGATACAAAAAAAAAAAAAAAGAGTAATCGTAATAATAGTAATAGTAATAGTAATAATAATCGTAATCGTAGTAGTAGTAATAGTAATAGAGAATGTACAAATCAGTCATATCTTCTTTCACTCCTACAGTCACTACTGAAATCAATACATGTGTTTTTTTTTTGTTTGTTTTGCTAATATATATATATATATATGCAAACACACTCTCTCTCTCCCTCTTTCTTTCTCATTCTCTCTTTACCAAAACCTCCACCACGGCTTCCCATTCTCGGCTTCGCGGTGTTTCTCCATACAAGACATGTACCCGCGGAGTTCTGGTTGACAGAGCAGCAGTGCCCGCTTTGCACTGACGGTGTCGTAGGGATTCTCCATCACGGCGTGCTGCTCAAAGCACGCAAAGAAGAGATCCGTCTCTTTTGTACATTCCTTGCGAGTTGTTGGGAAGTACGGCGGCAGACGAGTAATGGGCGCATCCCCATTGAAGTCAGTAGTAGTCGTAGTCGTAGTAGTCGTAGTCGTCATTGAGATATATTTATTTATAAATATATATGAGGAGAGAAGAGTGTTTAGTTGATATCTTTACTACTCTCTCTCTCTCTCTCTCTCTCTCTCTCTCTTTTCTTGTTCTCTTCTTTGTTATGCTTTTCTATATTGTGGTTTCTCTATTATTTTTTTAATCGTTTCGTTCCGTTTCTCATACATGATGAGAGAAAGGGAGAGGGAGAGTTGCAGGAATACAAATGAAAAGGGGTTATGTGAAACAGAAGAAGAACATTTTGGGAAAAGGATAAAAGAACAACAACAATCACAATAACAATAGAATCACACATTATATATAAGAAGGCAATATCTCTCTCCTTAGCTAAAATATACACGTACGTGTGAAGGGCAATAATAAACACAACAGAGAGATGATAGCAAGTGGAGTCTAACACAGATATATAAATATATATATATATATATATAGATTGATGTAGATATCTCCCTATGGGAAATCACTTACTTCACGTAATACGTCCACCAAAGGCAGCGGTGCCATCGGGCTTTATCATCACCTTCACTTTATCATTCACCTGCACAGAGTCATTCACACCCACCACCCCATCACACTCTTTAAAGGAGGCCATTCTATACATACCCTTTAAAGACATCTTCTCCACTGTATAGGCATAACTGCTAGGCATAATCACCTCTGCCCATATATCCTTTGCCTCTGGTCCATCCTCATCATCGGGAATAATGTGAAGTATATCCACCGGCATTCCACAACAGAGAAATTTCTGCTGAACATCCGGTAGAGAATCACCGGGAATATTTACTTCCTTCCCCGCATCTGAACTGTGTTCGGGATAAACAAAACAAGCCATATCATCATCATCAAATCCACTAAAAAGTAACCGCACACGTTCTGCCCGTACTTCTGCAAAGTCATGTCCTTGACCGGCGGTGACTTCCTTCTTACGCCCAGTTCCAACTTCCACGAGTTTAATATTAAAAGAAGCGGCATTTTGTCCCTTTTGGGATCGGGTGTTGGCCACTACTCGATAGTGCCGCTTATCCACATTGAGAATCATCCCAGCCCGCACTTTATCTGCAAATACACCACGTCGGGATAACCACAGTGGTGTACACATGGAGAGAAAGGCCTCATTGCCGGCATTTATACCTCCGCCTATAAAAGGTCTCTGAGCACGACGCAGCATGGTTTATTATTATTATTATTAATTATTATTATTAATTATTCTTATAATGTTTTTTTTTTTTTTTGCTTATATGATAATGATGATGATGATGTACGGGAAATAAATATTCCTTTTCTCCAATCCACCTCTCACTGCAGCACGGCACTTTCCAGTGGAAGGAGCTTGTGCGTAAAAATAATAAAAAACAAACAAACAAGAAGGATAAAAACAAACGATACTACACAACAACTCAAAATAGAAAAGAAAAGAGAAAAAAAGAGGAATTATGTAGTTAAAGTGTGATGAGAGAGTATACACACACACACTATTCTGCTAACTATATATATATATATATATATATATATACCAAGTAGCAGCGTAGGGTCAACTGTTACTAAGTGGTGCAAAGAAAAAAAAAATTACAGTAAAAGATAAACAAATATGGCTATTATCCCTTCACCACATTTAGAGTACTCTACATCGTGGGTAAAAACCAAAAAAGAAAAAAAAAACACCAACAACCACAACCACAGAATATAAGCATCACAACCATTACAGTACCTTATCATAATCATCGTAATCATCACACAAAGTCTAAAAAAAAAAAGAAAAAAAGAGATAGAAAAAAAAAGCCATGTGAAAAATTTCTTCCTCCTCTGCTTTTTCTTTCCTTCTTTATTTTTCTCTCTTTCTTTCTCACTCTCACTCTCTCTCTATATATATTCATGAAACTACTTCTGGGAGTACGGGTAGTGGGGCCTCGTGGGAGACGCGTTTTCTCACTAATCGTCGCATAGGCCGAGGTCCTTTCCCACTGTAATCACAAAGATAAGTAGCGAAATCCAAAATAATACCAGAAACATCAAACACCTTCTTTACCCGCGTTCTCGAAAGAAAACATTGTTCTGTTATGAGAGCGAATTTCCTTGGCATAGATTCCCACGCGGCGTGTTTAATGACACCCTCCACTGGATCTATCATTTGAACGGGAGTTGTACACACCTGCCAATTAACAATTCCTTCTTCTATAGAAGCCTTTGCTTGTGAATTACGTTTCACCTCAAAGTAGTGTTCTACATATTGTACTCGGAGAAGTGTTTGTGGATAGAGACGAAGACGTTCATTTAATTTAACATTTAAATATGCATGTTCTGCGATATAACGTACACGAGAGGAACTTTTTTCCGCATCTGTGCGTATTTTTTTCGCTACTACTGCAATCACTGTACGATCTTCTTCAGGAATCATACTATCTCTTAACACTCCATATAGACAACCATACATTTCTAAAGTAACATGGGTAAGACCATTTCGATCATCATATGTTTTTACACTTCGAACTCGGAAAGATGAACAGAGTGGTAAGAGCCATTCACGATCATATGGATACATGGAAACATCACAAACTTCCAATCCATCCACTACATTGCTAATTTCAAATAAAACCGCATTATCAGGAACTTGAAAAGCTTCCTCATCCGTCCAATTTACATTTGGTCGAACCATTGAAAAAGAAGGAAACATATACCAATCATCATCTTGTAAACCACGAATATATTGTAACTCATCCTGAGGAAGTTCCTTTATTCCATAATATAATACAGGTCGAGTAGCTCCAAGGAGAGCTGGTTCCATACCATTAGTATTTACACCACAAATAAGTATTAATGTAGAAACTGTGTATGCCCACTTTGTAAGATTTTCCGTATTTCCTGTACGGAAACTACTAAAAATTTCCTGAGCAAGAGACACTTGAGGTGGATCATTCACCAAAAAGGTACGTGCAATATCAATAGGTTCCATTGTAAAAAGACGAACAGCCAAGAGTACACTACTTGGAAGATCAGGATACATAGATCCATACAACATACTTAACACATCCTGAAAAAGTACCACAGCTCCAACCTTTATACCATAATTTTTTGCAATTTCAGTTTGTAATCCTAACGGATTTCTTTTCTTAACACAACCAATAGCATTTTCAACAATTGTTTTTAATAAAGGTCCATAAGTTTCATATGAATGGAATGCAGCCACAGCAATATGCCATTGTAAACCAATAGGATAAGGACATCTTTCATGTGCAGCTTCCCATAATTGATCCACTTCTTCCAGAGAAAGTTCCTCTGCCACATGTTCATTCGCTTCCTCCAATCCACCTGTTTGATCCATAGATGAAATTAAAGTTCTGTATTCCACAATCTCATCTATTACAGGTCGTTTTTTAATTTCTGTAGTGGACATAAATGCCTGTTTAAGAATTTTACCACCCTCAGCATGAGCCACTGTACCACTTATTTTTAACTTTGCAGAATTCAACGCAAGTTTATCTGGTCCTATCAATCCCAATGTACGAGGAATCGTAATTAATACAAGTTGCTCTGCATCCACACGGCGAACACATTTAAGTAACATTGTTTGTTTCCCTGGTCCTTTTGACTTTTTCATCCCATCCCCAGACCAATACCCCTGGAAGTCTCTTACTGGAGTCATATTCTGCATGAGAGGAGACTCTGGGGTGAATAGAGAGGCCCTACCACGGAATCCCGGTAAATACAATTGGAGAATATCCCCCTCAATAAGAGGAACAGGACAGCGGAATTGAATACTGAGACTCACCTCCACTCGTGGAATAGCAGGGGCAATGGTAATGGCAGTATCAAGAAGTTCAGCAGGACGTACTTCTGATGGGTCAACTTTACCTGCCGAGGTAAACTGCCGAGAGGACCCTAACCGGGCAAAGACATCAACTGTCTCCTTCTTTTTGCCTTTAGCCATATTCAGGTAAAAATTATTTTTTTTTTCTTCTTCTTTTATTATTAATAATAATTAATAATAATGTTTCCTCTTTTGGTGGTATTCGTTTTTTTTTTTTTCTTTCTTTTCTCCCACGTCAGAGAATACGACCCTTTCGTCCTGCTTTACCCACCAGTTGATGTTCTTCTTGATGTTACTATTTTTTTTTTGTTATTTTTGGCAACAAACCACAGACATATGTATGGAGAGAAAGAGAGATAGAGAGAGAGACAAATATAAAGAATAAACGAATAGAAAGAGAAAATTTGTCCTCATTGCTTGAGATGCATATATTACCAGAAAAAAAAAGGAACAAATAAGAAACATGGGAATTGCAACATACACACATAAAAAGAAAGAAAGAAAGATGTACTTGGCATACGGATATGTACACAGAAAAACAAAAAAAAAGAACCCATTTTTCCCTCCCACCCCCATCCAACACCAATTGCAATGTAATGCAAATATCTCTATTCCTCTTTTTCTCTCTTTAACTCAATCTATTTATCTATTTTTTTTATTTTTTTTTGTTTTTATGAGAGTCCATCCTCTCGGTACGTTACAGATGCATTCAGACGGTGAAAACTGGTAGAGAAAGAACGTAGTTTCACCTCACTACTATTTGGAATCAAACGTGGATCACTAATTTCCCACGTACCAGATGGAAGCTCCGTATCCAACTCTGTATATACTAAGAGATCAAAAACGCAATACTTCTGCAAAAGTGGAAGATACGCCACTGAGGCTGTTATTTGCCGAATAACTGCTTGAATTTCACGACGAATCTCCTCTTCAGACTTTTTATTACTGTTTTTGTCATTAATACTTTCTACTATAATATCAAATACCCATCGTTCCACTACCATATTATCATCTGCATTTGCCACTGTTAAGACCAGTTTTCGAACTTTATCTGTAGCTATCCAAGTGGCTATTTGCTGTAGAATTTCTGCAAGATATCCGTTGAGATCCTTATCTGTAGATATCATTAGAGGAACACCATATTTGGTAACTCGTTTGAAATCTTCTTCTGGATAGACACCTCGTTGGTAAAGAATACTGTATATTGCAAATCCAAGAAACTCCGTGATAATGGCAACACTTCCTTTGAACGTAATCGCCTGGAGTGTTTGCGTCATTTTTACTGAATATTATTATACGAAGAGAAATAGAAGAAACACACAAAGAAAAAAAAACTAAAGAAAAGGAAACGATATCGTTTTTATGTATCTCTTCCGATATATGTATATATTCTTAATCTCGCTGGTCAAAACAAAGTAAAAAAGAAAAAGAAAAAAACAAGAAGAGAAACATAAAATGAACAGTAGAAGCCAAATAAGAATAGAAACTCGAAAAAAAAAAAACATCACTACTGGCATTAGCCGCCACCAACCCCCATTGGGATGTGTATATCTTTCTGTGAAAACACAAAAGGAAATAATAATAATAATAATAATAATAATAATAATAATAATAATAATAATAATAACTGTGAAGTATACTTCACGCCCCCTTTAGGATGTCAAGAGGAAAAAAAAAAGAAAAGAAACGCCCAACGTATGACCTCATCCATTTTTTTAAAATCATTTAGTCAAGCCTATTCTTTGCATGTATAAGTGCATTGCGAATATATGTCCACTCCAGCACACATCGACGAAAGTTTTGATAATCTCCTGTTTTCCAATATTCCCTTGCCTGAGTATAATACTCCTCATATCGTTCCCCAAGATGTGCAATTAGAAGTTTCAATGTATCCCTACCCGTTTCCTCTGTGGTGTCTACTGTAAAGATAGATTCATTAGCCGCCATCATCTCCACCAGAAACTCCTGCGAGAGTGTGAGATTCTCCTCTTTTCCCCCTGTAATCTTTCTATTCTCCTCCACAGTTCGGCGGTCATCCTCCGCCATGAGGGCCTCCTCCTCTGCGGGGCTCAGCGGCCCGCCCTTCACTTCCTCCGCGCGGCTCAAGCGGGCGAGATATTTACAGCGCAGGAAGGGATCCCGCAGCGTCTCGTAGGCGACATTCGCATACATCGACTCATCCACATCCGCCACTCTATCCATGGAAGCGATCGTCGTTGTATTCGTCATTGGAGTAGAAGAAGAAAAAGAAGAGGAAGAGGAAGAAGAAGAAGAAGAGGGAAAAGTGGATCTTCCCTGTTTGGATTCTTCTCCTTCTCCTTCGTTTTCTTTGGCCTGTACATTGGCTTGATCGGGATGAACGCGGCGCTGGAGATCATGATACGCACGCTGCACCGCCGCTGTATCTAATTCAGGCGATTTCGGTAAATTTAAGTGTGCAAAGAAACTCCCTCGCCCCACTCGCCTCGCAATCGTTGTTGTGTGAAGATAGCGGTGAAGTCCCACCGGTGTTGTGAATGACCACAGAGTGGAGAGAGATGATCTCATTTCCCTATCACTTCCTTTTTAAGTTTATCTAACTCCCTCTCTTTCTTTTCCTTTCTTTCTTTCCTTTTTTTTTTATAAAGAGAGAGAGAAGTAAAGGGGGAAAAAATGTTATAATGCAAACAAACAAACAAAAAGAAAAGCAATTTATTTTCATTGACATTTTCCGTCCACAAAAATACTTCAAAGGAGTAAAAAAATTCAAATGTAAAATAAATGACATTTTCACTTTCCAAGTAATGATACAAAATCATCCTTAAAAAAGAAAAAAAAGCACACACAAATAAAATAGAAACAAAACCGAAAAAAGAACTAATATTCACTATTGAAAGTGAAAGGAGAAAAAAAAAAATTGTACATTGTATAATGAAATACATTCAGCAATTTCTCACCACTAAACATATATATATATATATATATATGTATATAAATATGTATATATATGTATATAGACAGAAAAGATTATGATGTACTCGAAGAAGACATGGGTTTTAATAAATGTGCCCGTTCTCGAAAGAGTTCTCCCACTTCCTGTACTGGACGCACAACCATACTTTCTTGAGGCACTAAACGAATGTTTGCCTCTTCTCTTTTCAAACCCGCACGTTTAAGTGCCTGTAGAAGTTTCTCCAAGTGTGTTTCTGCCAGTTGGGCCTTGGCAAACCATTCCCGTGCAGCCTCTCCAGTAGCACCACCCTCACCTTTAGATGCCGTTGCCACACACTTTGCCCGGAAAAAGGCAAGACGACTTTCCACAAAAGGTACATATCGTAATAAATCTAAAAGTATTACATTTAACATGAGGGTAACAGATCTTGTTGCTATTCCTGTTGTTCCTCCCTGTGATGTGGTTGGAGGTGATGGGGTGATGATAGTTGCAGCAGAGGTATTGGATCTAGATTCACCCGTGTTGGATTGTGTCTTCTCCGCATGCCGTCTTTCACTCTTCACTCGTGGTTTAACAAGAGAACGTCGTCCGCGGCGATTGGAAGAGGCATTACCACGTTCTTCTTCTCCTTTTCCAAGCGCATCTACTATACTCACACGTGCCTTACTTTGATAGGCGAAACAGAATGCCGCTGTCATTTCATCCAAGTTAAGATTCCATGCCCCACTTTCACCATCTAACATGTTCATTACACGAAGAAAAGATGTACGTTCTGGGGGTCCAACTTCTACATTTGTGGCTGTTAACACTGTTGGAAGTCGTTGTTGCATAAATGTGTTTGTAGTAGGGAAAGAAGAGGTGCCATTAATAACTGAAGATGCACCAGTATCACTAGATCGATGTTTTTCCTTTTTCATGGGTCGTTTCATTCGCTGGGTTTCCTGTGGCATTACTACCTCTGCAGTGTTTGTCATGAATTGTCCCTCTAATGCACTTAACTCCGTTGGAAGAAAAAATGCCATTGCCATATGATATAAATATTCCAATTGTTCCGATAAATTCATTGTGAGTGTTAAACCATCTACAGTTGTTTGTTCCCATGGCTCTGGAATTAAGGATTCCTTCTCCTGTTGAATTGCACGGAATAATTGAACTTGTTTACTTCTTAAATCTCCTAAAGTACCATCTTCTTGTTGTTGCTGTTGTTGATGTTGCTGCAGCTGCATGTGTAATACTTCTGCCGTCTTATTAAGTACATCTTCCATACGTAACAACCGATTTGGAGTTGGTAAACATTCTTGTCTCTTCCCAAGTCTCATATTCACAATATCAGAGTGACCCAGCAAGGCATCATAGAGAACACTATAGTCCACATGACCTTTAATAACAGGTGTGACTGGTGGTAATTGAATCTCTTCAATATCAATTCCTCCTCCTGGACTTAAAGCCATTGTATTAGACTTTGATGTTGTTGTTGTTTCTCCTGTTTGTTGCCGGTTTGCATACGACTTCCTTCGTGTAGATTGACGACGCAAGGTACTAGATGATACTTCATTAGATGTTACACTCGCTCCAGATGGTGTGGTCTCTAAGGCTTTAATAAATGAATGCCAATTCTCTGAAGAAAGTGGCATTCCTTGACGTGATAATGCCCATGTAGCATGAAGTGCCCTATACTTTTCCTGAACCTCTTGTTCTTCCTTTATTTGTTTTTCAGATTCCAGCTGTTGTTTTTTAAGTCTCTTGGTCTCAATTAATCGAATTTTATTTTTCAATATCACTTCACATGGAGATGGCTGGAAAAGTTTTTTACGCATCGCGGTCGTATCTTCGGCTTCAGGTGGGTGTGTAAAAGTCCTGAGGAACGCCACTGTTTTCTTTGGTGTTTCCTTTCTTGTTTCTCGTGCTGGACTAGTAGAAACAGAAATTATCTGTTGTTGTTGTTGTTGTTCTTGTTCTTCTTGTTGTTGTGCTTCTTGTTCTTTTGTTGGTGTTTCTTGTGGTTGAGTTAAAGATGGGAACGTCACTGCTCTTGGTGTTAATCTACTACTACCCTCTCTTCTTTGTCCTTCTTCCTCTTCTTCTTCTCCATCTTGTTTCTCTCCACGTGTTCTTCTCAATGGGGATGGTGACTGTGCCATTCGCATCTCTGCAGTGTTGGCTGGTAGTGTTAATGGTGTTAATGTGTTTACCGGCGATGATTGTGGAGTTCTTGTTCGGTTTGATCCATACATTTCAGCCGCCGCCTTACGTTCTTCTGGGCGAACCGCACGTCTATCAAGAATCTCAATATTTGGATGTTCATGAATGAGAAATAGACGATATCCCACCTCATCACAGAGTGGATTTCCACGGAGATCAAGTTCACGCAACCAGCGTAGTGGTTTTAACCGTGCAGAGACAGCTCTTAGGTTTCCCAAACGATTATGTGCTAATGTGAGTACTTCCAACTGTCGAAGTCTACTCACATCCCCGTCTAGTGTCTGCAGAGAATTGTGTGAGGCGTATAGACGTCGTAATAGACGACATCCACGTATATTATATCCAGAGGCATTGGGAGTAGTAGTAGTAGTAGTAGTAGTAGTAGTAGTAGTAGTAGTAGTAGTAGTAGTAGTAGTAGTTGTTGTTGTTGTTTTTGCTGCCGCGTTATTATTATCTGTACTTTGTGCGGTAGCTGTGAGTGGATCTTCTTGAGATCCCGATGTAGGGAGTAAAAAGTCTATTTGCCGCAGTCGATTATGCCGAATGATAAGTGTATCGAGATTCTCTAACAACTGCACATTAGGGTGAAGACGAGTAATGCCTTTTCGACAGAGTGTTAACTCCGTTATAGTGCGATAGCGGGAACGGGGAATGGCAAGAGCGCGAATAGGATCAATACAAAGCTCCTGTTCTTCTGTGGGATCCACATAGGGTGGAAACTCATCCTCATCCTCATTATTATAATCATCATACCAATTATCATCATTATCATCAGCATCCGCATCACTGATATAGCTACTATTCTGAGTAAATGATGAAGGATTAGATTTGTCTTTACTGCGCAGGCCAATTTGTTTATTGGAGGTCGCAGCGGAAATACCATGACTATTACTAGCCGCTAATGTCTTCCGTGTACTGGGCTTACTCCGCGGAGAACTGCGTGGGAGGCCTTGCAGAGTGCGTTTATGCCATACACGTATGAGATCTGGATAGGGTTTGCTGTGTGTTGTATACATATATCGCAAAACCTAAACCTGATACTATTCTTTTTTTTTTTCTTTCCTTTGTACACACAGAGAGAGAGAGAGATGTATGTGTGTGTCTAATCGTTTTTTTTTTCTTTCTTTCTTTGTTCGTTTGTTTTCGTTTTCGCCTTTTCTTTCGTTTTTTTTTTTTGTTTCTTTCTTCTGCTCTATATATATACAATATCCTCCAGTTCCTGTGTTTACCTCGTTCCACTATATATATATATATAGCTAAGAGATATTCTTATACCTGGTATCTGAATAGAGAAGAAAGAAAACAAGAAAAGAACAAAAATCAGTATACAAATGAAATGGGAGAGAAATAACTTCTCTGTATTTATTATGTTCCTCTAGATCCATCCATTATGATGTATCTTTAAAAAAAAAAAAAAAACCTTAAGTAAGATAACTGGGTTAAGCACATAATACTTGTTTTTTTTTCCTTTCTTTCTTTTTCTCACCCATGCCATACAGAATACAGGCGAGGAAATAGATCAGAACATAAACACATATCCCATCCCATTTTATATCTATATATATATATCTATATAATGATAGGATATATAGACATTTTTGTTTATAATGATAGGATATACGTGAGTCTATGACGCTAAATCTATTCCTCTCTTACACGAGATAAATACAACCGAACGAATATTTAATGAACGGATTAAAAAAAAAAAAGAAGGAAATCAACACAAAACTCTCTCTTTCCCCCTTTCACTATCCTCTTCTTCTCTATTGATGTTTACACACGCACACACACACACACACACACACACATACACATACAAACAGACTAATTCCCTCCCGCTGCAGCTGCTAGAGCGGCTCTTGGGACTTCCTCCACTGGCGGCAAATTACGGCCCCGCAGTGCACTCACACTCCACTTCGCCTCCTCTATTGTATTCACCGCCATCACACACACCACATCACTTCCACGGATCATCATCACACCCATCGACAATTCCCGCATGGGAGCTTCTTTTTCTTTTTCCTCTTCTTCTTCTTCTTCTTTTCTATTATCATTATTATTATTATTATTATCATCATTCTCTCTTTCGAATACACGCTCCACACAGGAAGTGAGGACGAGATTCAGTAATTGATCGGCGGCGTGCAGAACCCCGACGAGAGATCGACCATCTGTTGTGATCACAGAAACACGCCTTCGCAGATATTGAGCCAACATTTCTATTTATCCACACCTTCACTGAATGGGAAATAGAAAAAAAAAAATAAAAAAAAATAAGAAGCAGAAGAAGAGTTCATTCAAACAGAAGGAAGTGTTTAGGGAAAAAAAAGAGGAAAGTAAAGAAACATCAAAAAAAAAAAAAAAAAAAAAAAAAAAAAAAAAAAAAAAAAAAAAAAAAAAAAAAAAAAAAAAAAAAAAAGAATAATAATAAAGATACATAAATGTAAAGAAAAGAAATATAAGTGAGTACAATAGAAGTACGAATGGCGGCTGAGCAAAATAAATAAATAATAATCATAATAACAATAAAAAACATACACACACAGTGTGCATGGGTAATGTCCTTTTTTAGTTTCTCTTATATTTATTTCTCCCACGAGGCGATATCACGTGAAAAAGATAAAAAAAAGAAAAAAAGAGATAAGAAGGATAAAGAAATAAAAAAAAAAAATCCTACATGTAGTTCATACAAACATGACACACTTACGTACACACAAATAAAGAATTTTAGAGGGGGATATATATATATATACAGAGAAAAAGAAAAAGCACAACAAGGAAGAAAAGAGTCATACGAAAAAGAGAGAAAAAAATAAATAAATAAAATATCGAAGGAGGAGAAAAAAAAACAAAAACAAAACAACAGTAACAGCAAGAACAAGAATATATATATATATATATATATAGGAAAGAGAGATAGAAATAATAATCGAAAGATAGACGAAAAGAGAAAAAAAGAATTCTTCTTCCCATCTTTTCGTTTCCCATCTCCATCACAAACAGTATATCGACTATTCCCTTTTCTAACTCTCATAAACACCTTTTGTTTTTTTCTCCTCTGTTCATTTATGTTTTCTTTTTTTCTCAGATCCTCCCCCCAATTTGTTTGCTCTCTGCATCAGAAAAATCAACATACAACTACAAATCTACCCTGCAAATTTTTCTCTGTTTCTCTCTTAACTGCCACACCTTACTCATTCTTTTTTTTTTCTTTATCTCCTTTATAATGTTTTATTCATTTTTGCTTTACGTTAATAAAGAATCCCTGCGCACGTTAGTGTGATTCTCTCATTCCCTTTAATAAATGGAATGAAGAAGGAAAGAAAAAAGAACGATAAGACCTTTTCCCCTCCTCTCCCCTCTGCACCTTAACTATAGAGATTTCTCTTGTTTAACTTCAATTTCACCTTTACAAATTCTTCTTATTTCTACACTTTTCTCTCTTTTTCTCTCTTAGAATGCTTACTCTTCACTTTCCCCCTTTATGCAGCAGCTGTTTACTGCATTTTTTTATCCACTTCCCTTCTTCCTCTTCTTCTCGTGAAGAGCCCAGAGTTGGATGCCCAATATCATTTGTAGAGGGAGTGAAAAAAAGAAAAAAAAAAAGCAAGTTTTCATTCTGTAAGAGTAAAGAATGCTTGTGCGAATGTGTGTGTGTGTATGTATATGTGTTTGCCTTTTTATTTCCTCTCAAATGCTATATCTTTATTCTTTCACCTTCTCTTTTCTTTTTTTTTTTTCCTTCTTCTTAATTGATCATACAATCACAGATGGTCAAAAAAAAAAAAAAGAGAGATAGAGAGCGAATTGAAGAATAAAACTCTCTCCCCTCTTTTCTACGTTGTGAACATCATCTTCGCCTTCACTCACAATCATTGCTCATTTCATTTTATACTCTCACAAACATGTACACACAAATAAAGATATAATCTCTTCATCCGTTCCTTCTCTCAAATATTAAGAAAAATCTCAATATTTCGAGGCATCATCATTATCATTATCATCACCATTATTAAAAAGACTATAACTAGGGGCATTGACAACGAAGAATAATAATAACAATAATATTTTAAGTACACAATGACTCAAACCCCTTGGCTTCATCGTACGCACTTACACAGAACGTAAAAAGAGATCAAAAATAAGAAAAAGAAAAAAAAAAAAAAAAACCATCCTTCACTCCTAACTTTCTATTTCTTCAATATATTTTTTTAAAAAGAAAAAAAGTTTCATTTCAGTTCCTCCTGCAATTCTTCCCACTTTGTCCCCATTTTTTTTTTTGGTTGTTATTGTTGTCGTAGTCGCACCTGCTTCACACCATCTATATATATACACACACCTACCCACCACTTTTTTCTCACACTTCAAAATATCATTAAATAGATATGATAGACCGATTGGTGTATATATATATATATATATATATACATAGATGTATGTGTTTGGTTTACTAGAGTCCTGTTGACTAACTGAGGACACGCCGTGCTACGGCGAGTACATCGGAGACCTGTGGCTGTGAGGCCATTTCCAATTCCTTCGCGTACGGCGTTGGGCAGTCGGCGCAGGAGACCCGCTCCATTGGGGCATCCAAGTAGTCAAAGGCGTCGCTCTCCATCACGATGGCGCAGACCTCCGCCCCCACATTGCACACGGGGAAGGACTCATCCACCGTCATGGCCCGGCCCGTCTTGCGGACGGAGGCGAGAATGGCGCTGCGGTCGAGTGGGCGGAGGGAGCGGAGATTGAGAACCTCCACCTCGACGCCCTCGCGGGCCAACACCTCCGCGGCCTTCAGGCAGTACTCCACGCCGCGGGAGAAACTGATCATGGTGAGATGTTTCCCCTCCCGCTCCACCTTGGCGCGGCCAAAGGGAATGAGGAAGTCTTTATCCAGTGCCTCCGGCGAGAGCGGGAAGGACTCACCGTACAGCAGTTCGTGCTCCAGCACCACCACCGGGTTGTTGTCGCGAATGGCGCTTTTAATCATTCCACGCGCGTCCTCCGCACTGTACGGCGCCATCACCTTCAGCCCCGGCACAGACGCATACCACGGCGCGTAGCACTGACTGTGTTGGGCACCGACACCCGCAGAGGCGCCGTTCGGGCCACGGAAGACAATCGGGCAGTGCAGTTGACCACCAGACATGTAAAGTCCCTTGGCGGCGGAGTTCACAATCTGATCAATGGCCTGCATGGCAAAGTTAAAGGTCATGAACTCACACACCGGGCGAAGGCCATTCATTGCCGCACCCACCGCCATTCCTGTAAAGCCGTGCTCCGTGATGGGGGTGTCGACAATGCGGGTGGTGCCGTACTTATCCACAAGTCCCTTCGTTACTTTATACGCGCCCTGGTACTGTCCTACCTCCTCACCGAGAACAAACACGGACTTGTCGCGTTCCATCTCTTCATCAATGGCCTTATTAATGGCATCACGCACAAACACCGTCGTTGACGCTCGAGTGGCAACGGCAGCAGAGAGAAATTTAGAGGCAGCAAAGCGACGCATCTTTTATTATATATTCTTTTCTTTTGTTTTTTTCTTCCCTGTTGATTATGCTATTTAACTATAAATAAATATATATATCTTCTTTTTTTTTATTACTCTTTTTCTTACAAGAATTTTTTTTTTCTTTTGTTATCGTAGCGCACTTCTTCAATGTTTTGTGTTAAAATTAAGAAGAAACAATAGTAGAGAAAATAAATTAAATAAACAAAACACACCAAGCAAATCATAAAATATAATAACCACAATAAGAAGAGAACCAATTATAAAAAAAATTCTCTCTCTCACACCCGCACCCTTTTTTTTTTTTTTTCAAAAAAAAAAAAAAAGCAAATGCGATTGTACAAATAGTATCAATCACAATATACCAATTCATGTGCATGGGCATACATACACAAATACACACACACACATACTCAGATAAACAGGTAGAGAGAAAGATAGATAGGTAGATAGAAACAAAAGAACAAAAAAAAAAAAAATGTTTCTAATGAGCCCCACTTCACTCTGCGGTATTGCGAGGGCCATTTTTACGTCGTACATGACGGTGTGAGTAAGAATCATCCCCGCTGCGATACCGTTTCTGTTTGGAGGCGTCTCCTCCACTTTGAGAGATCCAATTCCTTCTACCCTCTTTGTTGTAACTCTTACTTCCATGCAGAACTGCCGTCGTTGAAGCCGTTGTGTTATTCTTCCCTAATGACGTCTCTGAAGAATGCGGTATACCGCCAAAGAGATGATCGACATCTGTTGCGGTTGCCGGCATGTTTGGAAGTAACGGACATTCCACGGAAGCCAACAGTTGTATGGGGTGTGTGCCATCGCCAGAAGAATACACAGAAGAGACACTAGTCGTATTCGTACTGGTACTAGTAGCAGTAGTAGTAGTAGTAATAGTAGCAGTATTCGTACTACTAGTAGTAATAGGAGGCATACCCAATTGTTCCAATCGTTTGTTTAATGCTGTTCGGAAAGACAATTCATACTGTTTCACGAGGCCTAATATGCGCCGGAGGTGAAATACAATTGAATAAGCTCTCCAATCCCCAAGAGGGGTATTCTCACTAAGAAAACGTACCACAGCACGGGTTGTATCTGCGATAAAAAGACGAAGAAGTGACACAGCATCCTTTTCCGATCCTGGAAGAGTACGACGAATCCATTCATTACTATCGCTATTATCGTTATTATTATTATTATTATTATTATTATTATTATTATTATTATTACTTTTATCTCCCACGGTATCAGTAGTGGGTAATGTCGTTCCTCGCTGTTGTTGTTGTTGTTGCTGGAGGATCTGCATTTGTGGTGGTGGTGGTGGTGTTTGTCTTGCATGAATAACGCGAGGAACAAAGAAACTCAATTTGTACGGCAACGCAATCTCATCAGCGATAATTCCCAAAAACGCAGATAATGAGGCACATTCAAGTTTTGTCGCGTATGTGAGTTTCGTATTCGCTCGCAGCACAACACGGCGTACCGTCTCTAATATGGCCTGCGGCTCAAAAGCACGTGCCACTCCTTCCATCCATTTCTTTAATCCCACACCAGCGGTCACTCCATCCACTACAGACATCCTTGCCCGTTGCATGAGTGTTACTACAATACTCTCAATATATAGTTTCACTACGGCAAGAGGTAGAGGTTTCTCATCACGGGGAGGAAGTACTTGTTCTTCCTTCTTACTTTGATTATTCACATCTTCCGTTGTGGTATGAGTCTCTCCAACACCCTTTTCTTCTTTATTCGCCTCATTATTTGCTTCCACTACAACAGACTCTTTGGGTGGAACCAGCTGTTGTTGCTGTTGTTGTGATGATGTTGTTGTTGTTGTTGTTGTTGTTGGTTCTACCTTTTGACCAAATTGTTTTCTTATCATCTTCACATCCTGCTGTATAGCGGCTTCCATTAATGCAATGGCTCGTGCCTGTGAGCCCAACTCTTTTTCTTTCAATGCATACTGTTCCAATGCCGCACGGCGTGCTAACAGTGTACGTGTTGGGATATATTTCATATAGGCACGATTACAAATTCGAAGAAGTGTCATTGCACATGTTCCCGCACGGGAGTCGATATCTTCAAACTCTGCAGCACAAAACCAGTCATTCCACGCATGAGGCACTTCTGCATATTCCTCTGCTGTAGTCTTCTTTATCTTATCATCTTTCTCTTCCTTATTCTTATTCTTATCCTCTTCTTCCTTCTCTAGTGTACATCCACCACGCAGTAGAAATGCCATTGGTAAAGGACTCTTCTCTTCTTTATTATTATTATTATTATTATTATTATTAATTACTGTGGATTTATTTGCTCGAATGGCACATAATCTCTTTACAATAGACCGCTGAACATCATGTCTAATAGTGGCATCCCAATAAGTAACACTACTGCAGAGTCGCAATACACCAAAGAACATAGAAGCCATCACATCTACAGTGAGTGGCTCAGACAACGCACGGCGGTCAGAGTCTCCACGCACACGAGACGCCACCAACACTCCCACATGTGCGATAATATCAATAAATAGACTACGTGTTACTATACTGTCTTCCTCCTTTTGCGTCTTGGACTCTGCTGAAACTTTCTTATTTGTAGTAGTAGTAGTAGTAGTAGCTGTTGTTGTTGTTGTTGTTGTTACGGCTGATGGAGACATGAGTAATTCATGAAAGAAATGTAAAGCATCGTTTTTCGCATTCAATGCCAGTCGCAGTGGCTGTCGACTATAATAACCCCGTGGAAGTTCTTGAAAGTAGGCGACTTCTGCAGAAAGTGGGTATCGCATAGCACAACTCACATGATCTCTATCCGCTGCTGTACTGTAGTCTACACCAATAGCACGCAGTGGTGGGAGAAAGAATGCCACTAGGGCATATCGCTGCAGCTGGACAATCTGACGATGAAGATGTGTAAGCATTAAACGGCCTGGTGCGAAGAAACGACGTGCGGCTTGACGAATATGTAGTAATGCGTGTGTGTCGAAGAGTGGAGTGTCACTACAGAGAAATGCCAAGAACATAAGCCACTCACTTGTGGCTACTGTGTGGGAATGAAAAGTTGCAAAGGACTCATCTAGTGCGGCTCCAATAAAACGCTCCACCACATCCACTGGAATACTATTATTATTATTATTATTATTATTATTATTATTATTAGTATTCTCAGTAGTGGCATTCATACTTGTATTATGTGGAACCAGTTCACTACATAGACTCACTATTGCTTGTTCTATAGTTCTAAACACTGTGAAGTATTTTGGGAAGAATGTCAATGCCACTGTATTCCCTTCCAGAGGTTCCTCCATAAATGCACTCGATCGTGATTCACTAGATCTTCCCTTATCAGTAATAGCAGCCTCACAATCACATGCGGCTGTTACACTATTATTAGGAGAGAGAACACCTAAAAAATGCTGTAAAGTAGCAATTGGACGTTGGACCAATAATACCCGTAAGACTCGAATACTAAGATTCGTTGGAGGATTCGTTTTATCCAGTGCGCAGGAGACGACATGACCCATCTTTGCTGTACAGGCCTCTACTAATGTACGTTGAGTGGACACCGCGGAAGATGATGGGGATGATAAGGAGGAGGATGAGGAGATAAAGGAAGAGTGTGTATCGCCTCTCTTACTATACCATGTGAAGAAGGCTTTTAATGCCTCATGTTCTTTATCTTCGCAAGGAGGAATAATAGATGTATATATATCATTACTTCCATCCGTCTTCAGTTTATTGGGATTGTGTTGTTGTACAGTTTGATCGCGTCTCATATAAAATGTACGAGCCACTATATCAGCAAGCACAACTATCCATGGTGATGTTTCATTAAACTCCTCTAACAGCATAAATACACGTTGAACGTTTTGTTGTATAGATCGAATCCATTCATTCGCTTCAGGTGTTGTTAATTTTTTACTTTCATTACATTCAACTTTCTCTTTCTTCTTCTCCTTTTCCTCATTATCATTATTATCAGCACTATTATCTCCAGTGTTCCCCTTCTTCGCCTCCTCCTCCTCTCGATGAGGGATCATAGAATAGAGAAGTTCTCCACACAACGGAAGCCATTTACCAAGTGACTGTACAATTACTTTAGCCTTTGCAGATGTAGATATCACAACATGACCACGTTTAGGATGTACTATACTCATCACAGTATCTGTGGATGTGAAAGAAGAAGAGGTTCCCATTGTTAACATATTAAGAACCTTAACAACACGTGTTACAAGATGACGAACATCCTCTACATCTATTCCACCCTCCTTTTCTTTTTCTTCTTCATTTTCCTTTTTTGTTGTTCCTACACACAATAATGGCTGTATTTCCTCTTCAAGAGATTGTAACTCACGAAGAAACGCCTCCCATGTGTAGTGAACAAGCTGTGGGAGATGTTGTTCCTGTTCAATAGGGGTCATACCTAATATATCTACCACAAAGGACCATACAATATCTATTAAGGATATATTATCTTGTACACCCCAACTGGATGTATGTGTAAAGGCGATGTCTACGAGAAAAGAGTCCACAATAGTATAGGAACAAGAGGTTCCACTACCAACACCACTAATATTATTATTATTATTATTATTATTATTATTATTATTATTATTATTATTATTATTATTATTATCATTCTTAATCCATTGTGAAGCCCATTCACCAATAACGGTGGTGATTAACATTTCATGCACTCTCCACCAGAGTGTGTTATTATCCGGTTCCCCAGTATTCGTAGTCGTAGTATTAGTATTATTGGTTCCTCCAGAGACTTCATTCTCCAGAGATGGTTTATCCACCTCCCCTTGATCTTGCTGTTCTTTTTCTCTAGTCAATACCTTAAGCAATCTATCTCGTATCAAAATAAGTTCATCACACCATTGCGTTAACGTTTCAGCATTCACAGAAGTATCCACCTCGTTCTTATTCTTATTCTTATTATTATTGGTAATGGTGTTAATATGTACCTTCAACATTTCCCTAGCTTTATTTCTAATCTCTTGCAGTAAGGAAGAAATATCACCCTCTGTCGTGGGGGATGATAAGAGAGAGGCCGCCTCCTCTGCTAAATACCGGTGTGTCCACCAAGCACCAGCCAATACATTCTCATCATTCGAATACGCCATATATATATATATATATATATTCTGTTTGTTCCTTTATTTCTTTTTACTCTTCTTGTTCTTTGTTTTTTCTCTATTTCAAAGGAAAATAGACACGTCCAAGATAGGGGAGATTAACTTCACCACTTCTTTCTTTCTCCCCTTGTGTTCGCTTACAGTTATTTGTTTTGAAATAGGTAAATTCCCCAAAAAGAAAAAAAAGATAAAGATAGATAGAAAAAAAAAGAATGCTTCTTTTCCCCTTTGTAAAGTGTTCATACTTTGACTATTGACTATGTACAGTTTCCGCTCGTTTTATTTTTTTTCTTTGGGTTTTTATTTTGTGAAGGACACAGCGTGCGTGCAAGCAAGGCAGATAAAGTTTCCATAGGTATATTTATAGATACCAAGGTTCATTCTCTGCATACACACGCAACACCTACCACTAAAAAAATGTATATATAAATATATATATATTTATCTGTGAAGGACAGAAAACATCAGAAAAAAAAAAGAAAAAACACAGTTTAATATTTCTATTCTCACGTTCTTACCAACATATCACGTAATACATATAGACACACAAAGCGATAAACAAACAGTAATATGAATATATTACGTGAAAGTGAACAATAACGTATATATATATTTTAATTTCTCTTTATTCATGATGTTTTCTCAAGACTTCGTTGCAATGCTAAGGAACGACGCACGTAAAATGTGTGTTCTGCCAAACTCTGTTGCCGCACTTCAAAATACTGCGGGTACCGTTCAAAGTACTGAATAGCTTTCACATTTGGCTTTCCCATACACTTCACACGTACTTCTTCTGGAATTCGCAAATCTGTAAAGGCTGACCACTCATTTGGAATATACTGTAATACCGTGTTAATACGCTGTTGTTTCTCTGCAATTGGGTCATGCCTCAGAATGCGTGCGTTAATATCATCATTTCCTATTTTTCCAGTTTGTGCGGATGATGTGGAAGATCCCGCAGAGGTGAATGAGAGGGGTGGTTCCTCCAATACCATGCGGTGTGCGGCTGCGGGCACCAAGTGCGGTGGGGCACAGTGAATGGTCCGATTCCGTCCATTCCCCTGTTGATAGACGGCGAAGTGATTTGGATAGCGAAGTAAGAGCTGCTCGAGTGGCTCGCGGTTCTTTGCGAGGGTCTTTCGGCTTGTACTCGAGAGGGCGCGGAAGAGAGAGCCAATGGGAACTGGGCGGCTCAGCACTATTTGGATCTCCTCCAGTAGATTGTCCATCGCCTCCTGATCGGGTTTATTAGAATTCACACTAGTACTACTACTACTATTTTTACTATTACCATTATTACTATTACTACTACCATTATCAGCAGTAGTATTGGTATTAGTAATGGGAGTAGATGATGTACGGCTGCCTCCTTCATGTATGGTGGAGTTTAGACGACGTTGTGTTATTACCATACTGTTCACACCAGTAAGAAGAGAAGCATGTGAGCAGAACCGACGAACACAGATAAACATCTCTTGAGTAGTGTGACTGTTAGGGCGTATCCGCGAGAATGGGATGGCTTTTATTCCCAACACACCACGAACGGCTGTAAGCATAGGGACTCAACACTTTGTTTTTTTTTTCTTTTTTTTTTTCTCTTTAATTGGTGTATTGGTATACCTCGATTTTAACTTTTAGCTTTTATACCATGTGGGAATGAAGAATAAATAATAATAATAAAAAAAAAGCATAGGAATACATGTGGAAAAAGAATACGAGAAAAAAATAATACTTACATTCTGAGAGTTTAACAAAAATAAAGGAGTTCTGTGTTTTATACAGTCCTACACAACATTGATAGAAAAAGAGAAGAGGATATATATATATATATATAGTGTATGTGTTCCTGATGATTCCTGATTCTTATATACTTCTCTTGACAATTCCTTCCATTGAGGTTCTTCTCTTATTTTCTTCTTTCTTTCTTTCAATCTTTACTACAAAGGAAGAAAAGCTCTAGGAGAGTGCCTCTCAAAGGAATAGGCAACAGTAATAGTAGTAATAATAGTAAAAGTAAGGATTAGAGAAAATACAGAGAGAAACAACAAGATACAATTAAGGGCAAATCTCTCTCTTTCTTTCTTTCTTTTCCCCCACAAAAACCCTTCTCTTTATTCACTTTCATTCATCTTCACAATCTTCTCATCAGACGGATGGCTAGACTGTTTCATATACTTCTCCCCCCTCTCTATTCTTCATCTTTTTTTTTTTTCTAATTTCTATCATCACTGCCTCTTTACCTCTCACCTTTACCTCCTCCACATGTCCTGTTCACCACGCAAAAGAACAGAAATGAACAAAACGAGGAGAGAGAAAGAGAGAGAAATAATCGCAAGCAAGCAGTACAACAAGAAGAAGAACCACAACGAAAAATAACAAAAAGAAAAAAAAAACAACAACAACAACAAACAAAACAAAACAAAACAAAAAAAAACCACTCCTCTCTTCTTTCCTTTTCTCTTCCTTCCTTTTCCCCGTTACATGGCTGGCTTTTCAAACACCCTCAACGCCTGGACTGAGTGCCAAAGCTACGAGCCTCACCTCCCATTCTCCCACCATTGCTGCTGTGATTCCCTCCGCGGCCTCTAAAGCCTCCACCCCGATCGCCTCCAAACCGCCCACTTCCACCCCGATCACTATTCCCCCGATCACCGCCGCCGCCGCCTCGGCCTCTTCCTCTAAACCCTCCACCGCCGCGATCACTATTGCTGTTGCTATTCCCTCTTCCTCCTCTTCCTCTACCGCCTCCGCCGCCTCGGCCTCCCCCACGTCCACCGCCGCGTCCTCCTCCTCCGCGGCCTCCACCTCCGCGACCACCGCGGCGATTAAGTCCCAACATTTCTTGCATGGTTTCTCGTTGTTTCTCTCTGGCAATGAGTTTCTGGTATGCAAGTGGGGTGGCCGCCACGTAGAGGACACCATCGGAAGGATTGGCCTTTACAACGAACAGTTGTTTACGTTGTTCCAGGAAAGCCTTGAGTCCATCATGTTTCTCGGAGATGGCCTCCTGTACATCTGGCACCAGTTGGGCATTTAGACTCTTGATGGAAATGGCTCCATTCTGTGGAATGTACTTGACAATACTGGTGAGGATCTTCCAATCATCACGCATCATGATACGGGTCACATCACTGAGTTCACCATCTCCAGTTTGGTTTATTAAACGTGGAACGGTACTGCCACTGCTTTGATTACCACTTCCACTACTACCACGATGATCACGTCCACCACCACCACGTCCTCCTCCGCCTCCTCCACGGCCTCCGCCACGTCCACCGCCAAAAGTCCCTTGCGCACGTGTAGAGAAAAGAATGGCCGCTGAATGACATTTATTGAAATGATTGCAACTACTGCTGCTGCTAGTTCCTATATGAGGCGTGGCTGCGGTTTTACATACCGCGGTGATAAGGCCATTGGCGATACACACAGAGTTCAAGACACGTCGCATTTGATTTCCTCTTTTAAATATAATGTGAAAATAATCAAACACAAAATAATAATAATAAAAAGACAAGAGGTATCCTTTTTTTTTTTTTTTTCTCTTCTCTTTTTTTCTTCTTTAAATTCAAAAAAAAAAGACCACCCTAGCTTTTCCGTTAGTTATATGAGCGTATTTGTGGATGTATAATATGTCTGTAATGTAAGTCTGTGTCTGTGATGACAAAAAAAAGGCTCAACCAACAGTTAATATGAGCAATAAATACGACTAATCTATCCCGACACCTACCTTTCTTCCTTTTCAACTAGAACACCTCGTTATCCCTCACTATGTATATATATGTATATGCTTGTACGATTATCTCTGTGAGTGAGTGTTGTGAGTGTCTTTCCTTCTTCTTTTCTTTTCTTCTTCTTATTGCCACTTTAATTCCACGTGCCCCAAGTGTGGCTTCTGGTGTTTTTCTTTCCTTTTTTTTCTTCTTTTTCGTTGGTTTCGCTGATCTTCTCCTACGAAATTACGAAGGAATGAAAATAATTTCCCCCCAAAAAGAAAAAAAAGTACAAAGAGAGAGAGAGAGAAAAAGAGAGAGAGGAAATGTCTTATTTTTGCTTCAGCACAGAGTGAATATCAGAAGGATTATTAACGAATATATATATATAGAAATTAGCACCAAAACAACAACAACAAAAAGAAAATGCATGCAGTATTGTAACCTCTATTTAAAGTATTCATTTCTCTCAACTTCCTTCTATTCCCCACAAGGATGACGTCTGAGCGGATCACATCACCTTTTTACCCAATATCACCACAAATAGTAACAACTCAGAATCATAATAATGCACATACATACATACATACACATTGGGGAATGGTAGGCACGAAAAAAAAAAAAAATAAAGGGAGGATTATTGAAAACGATGATAAAAAGGGGAAGAAATATTACTATTTATAATATAGTCATGGCACATAGAAAAAAAGAAAGAAAGGATGAATGAATGAACAAATCAAGAAGAAAAAACAAAACAACTTACTGTGTCCGGATGAAAGTAAATGAGAGGTAAAGATCCAACCAAGTAGAAGACATCATCTCTCCCACTTTTAACATTTCCCTTATTCTTGTACCTTTTTACGATGCTCTCAATTATATTCAGCGATCACTCTTTTCCTCATATTCCCTTAAGTCGCTATTCTCTCTTCTAATTCTTCTGTAATATTTCTTATACTATGAATTCAAAAGCAAAAAAAAAAAAA